TGTTATGAAATAACACTGGGTATTAGTCGTGGTAGAAAACACACGGACCAGCTTGGAAAGTCATCTTTTGATGAACTTAACATACCACCCACTGTATCTGAAATCACCCACTGTCCATGTAATCTAAAAGCGGGAAAGGTGTGCAGGGTGACACACGGACCGGAGTGGTTCCGGGTAGCAAACCTCTGACACATCCCAGGGTTGTAACCTAGTCCAAGTGTCACACACCCCATCTCTAGAAAGGCCGTCAGAAGGGTTACTCTCAGAGTCTACCCATTCGATCCAAACGCGAATCTTGAATCTTTGAAAAAGGAAATGCGCTACCTCAACAAGAGTATGGACATCAATTTGGGAGCTGGACCCGCGGATGAGCGAGGCCACAGCTGCCTCATTGTCGATGAACCACAAAACATCCTGATGGCGCAAGGCTTCACCGTGAAACCATGGCACCAAGAGACCACAGAGGGTTTCCCCACAATAAATTTGTTGCGAACGGTCTTCCCAAGTCTGGAACACAGGCTAGACCCTGGGGAGAATCCGACTGCCCGAAAATGACCCAGCCAACACGCAACACGCCATGTTCAAAAGAAGCATCAGAGTAGATAAGGGTAGGTTGCGAAGGCAATGAACGTACTGCTATATCACGAGGACCAGGGCATGCCACAATGGCCGCTAAGAGCTTAAGAGTGACAGTGTCCTCGGGGGGAAGAACCGGTGACGCAGCACGCTGCAACGCGGTCAGAGTGCGTCCTGCAACCCTACCTGCCTGGCCTGCGCACATGCTAAACATCCAGTTTAAGTCACCCCGTAGCTTCCCGGCATCATCCGGGGGAAGCTGCTTCGTCTCAACTACAAGTCGCAGTTTGCCAATACTTTTTGTTGCGTGGTAAACTTTGGTTGAAATCGAATGGATCCGGAGTCGACAAAGTCTCCAACATGTACAGAAGTATCAAGGTAATGACGGTTGTGGCCCGGCGCAAAAGATTTGGCCGCCTGGGGCGGGGCCCCCATGAGTTGGAAGACCAATTGGAGTCCGCGCTGCGAGACATCCGAATTGTGGACAAAGTCAACAGCGAGTTCATCATCAAAGTTGGCGGCACAACAAAACAAGGTACAGCGTCGCGCAATCGCAATGCCCAACTGAGGGAAGCCTTGGGCTGGAAGGCCTCGATATGCATCGGGCAGGTCGTCACTACCCAATCCAGCCGTTCCGGGAATCACCCGTGGGTCTCCAGGGAGGTGTTGACCACACGGGCGACGGAAGCGACAAATCCACATTCACCGTAGATATAGTCTCCTGCATGGCTGTATGGGTATTGCGGCCACTCTTACGAGCATTATCAATAACACGCTTGCCATCTGGCTGGATGATCAAGAAGCGTTCCACAGCTTGCCAGCCCCCAACTCCAAACCTATCATTCATAGCCTGCATAGTCTGCAAGGGACTGCAAAAACCTTTTTGGATCTCTTCATTGGTAACGGCGAGGATTTCCGGGGCACGAAAAGGGGGCCGGCTACGGATCAACCGCTGCACGTCTGCCTCACCTAAGCGGGAACCCGGTCCTCGGGGTGATAAAACTCACAAGTAAAGGCGCGCATAGCTCCCTTGCCCTCATGCTGCAAAACCATCTGGGGGTTCAGCAAGGGCAGGAAGTGGTCATCCCAATACACCTGAGGCGGTAGGGGCTTCTTGCCCACATACCGGAGTTCGGCTCCTGCTGAAGAGGTCTTCCATTGCCAGGACTCAGGGGGCGGGCGATCCGGACCCACCACCCATGCCTCGAGCGGAGCCAGAAAAATCGTCGCCTAGGCTGTCCAATTAGTCCTTTCCTGCCTCCCTGGTGCCTCCCTGGTGCCTCACAGGCTATCCAATTAGTCCTTTCCTCGCCACCCATCCAGTACTGGCATCAATGTGGATGCCAGCCATGTCTCGTAGGCTTGCTGGACCTGCTTAGGCATGCTGGCCACATTCTCCAGGAACGCCACAATCTCCATACCTTGGCATTCTGGAAGCTGCTCAAATTCCCCGACCGGCCGCTGGAGCTCAAGAGGTTGCTGAGATCTCTCATCACCCAAACCCCTGCGTCTCCGATTGAGGGCTGAGTTGCCTTGACATGGGAGCCCCCACCCATGGAGGACCCCCCAAAAGTTACGGTGCACCAGCATCGGGACAAAGTCGGCCCGGCTGACCGTCACCACATTGGGCATAGCGGACTGAATACAATGGGCGGCCTCGGCATCCATCTCCGCCGCCACTGCATAGAAGTGGACGCCCATGGCCAACAGCTCCAGCAACAAACCACCAATGCCTGACCAAAGGTCGACCCCCTGCCAAGTGCCTCTGAACGGCTTTGCTCAAGGGAACTGCGGCAAGTCACCCAGGCCGCGCCAGGTGATGGGCTTGGCTGCATACAGGCTGTTAGCCAACTGTGTGTTGCGGCTGCGTCCATCAGGTTCCAGGAGCACACGGCGGTGGAGCTCAAGTTGGGCAGAACATGGGGAAGTTGCCACGCTCATGTCCACTACACCTGGGCCTTCCCGGGGTTCCCCGACCCTCGAACGCGACCCAGATGTTGCATGGCAACAGGTGCATGAGCGGCTGGCGGCTTGCGGTTTGGTGAGCCTACAAGCCTACCCTATGCGGCGTCGGCTTCGGCAGGAGCCATGGGAAATGTTGGGGCCTGTCCCTATCTGGGGAAGGATGCGGTCCGCTATCTTTGCAGGGCTTACAGGGCAACGCTATCCTAGCTCCTCAGCCAAAGGCCTCGACCACCTCCTGCCCCCTGGGCTGGAAAAGGAGGAGCATGTCGCACAAGCAAAGCGGCTACCATCATCACCGTTCCACCCTGCAGATTGGCCCGAACCTGATGTGTCTTTTGTGGTCCAGGCACTGGGTGTCTGGCAGCAATTTCTCCCTGCTTACAGCCAAAGGCTGCGACATACCTTGAAGGCAGTTGAAAAAGCTGCGCAGACGCTGCGCCCGTTTCTCGAGTCGGTGAGGTGTGTCAGTGCCAACAAAGTAGCGCAATCTAAGAGGCCTGCTTTTGTTGCTACCATGGCCTGCCTCCTCCGCTGGCCGGATCGTGAAATGGCCCGCCAACTAGTCCGAGGGTTTGCCATTGTGGGGTCCCTACCACCATCCGGGGTGTTTCGGGGTATTCAACAATCTGACAAACTGCCTTTACCTGAGATTGCCATCAAAGTCAGAGACCTTGAATAAGCCGGCCCAGGACCACGCGTACGCAAGAGTCCTCAAGGAGAAGTAGTATTCGACCACGACCACTCGATGATCATCGGCCGCAAACTCCAATTGCACGCCCCCACCCAGGGGGACAGATTCCTGATGCTTAGGCGCCGACTGGTGTAAGATGGATCGCACTTTGGCCACACTGATCACAGTCATAGTCCGCTTGCGAAACTCTCTGTAAACCCGGGAGCGGAGTGCATCGGATGGTTCCAAGAACGCGTCCAACACAACTCCATACTTAGCTGCAAAATCCTTATGGAGTAGACTCAGGGAGGATCTCATCAGGGGCCTCAGGTTGCTTGGCCTCAGCAGCAGCCGTACGAATAGCTTCCAACCCGGCCGCATGTGCAGCCTTGAGACGTGCTCGAAGGAGGCGATTCTCACGCATCTTGGTAGGATGAAGGACCTGGTCCAGGGATGTCTCCATAGAGTCTATGCCATAGAGGCTTCATTGAAGTAGTACACAAAGTCCTCAAAAGTCTCCCATTTATGAATGGTAACCAGCTCACTCACCCCCTGGTGGAAACGGTTCAAAGGAGGTCCCTGGTCAGAGACCCTGGAGACCTGCTAGGTTCCGACCGAACGGGGGCAACTTGGCGGTTGATGGAAAACATGTACTAACCATTACAGGCATGCGAAGCGGGCGACGTCCGAGCGGACGGGACATCCACCGATCCGGGTCGAGAACGATCGAAAAACCCCGCCCCTCCCTGCGATCTCAGCCTCTAGCCCCGCAGCTTTTGTACACTCAGCGCAGCCATCCGCACTGGTCCGCCAGGGAGGCATCCTCCTGACATACGAGCCAGACATCGCTGGCAAAACTGGCTCCTGGCCACCAACCCGAAAACCGAAGCCTTCGCCCTGGCTTTTGGGGTCTGGCGGTTCTCCAGAACCCCACTGACGTGTGGACCCTGCTGCTCAAATCGCTGCCCACAGCCGAGCAATCCGATGGCGAGGAGGTGGTAGAAGACGAAATGGAAAGCGCCTCACTGTCGCCACCTTGGGCGGGCGGTGTACTGTTGTCCACCTCTTCATCCTTGACTTCCTCCGACAGGACCGCCGGTGCGCCGAGGGCTGTACCGGACTTGCAGCCTCAATCAAAGCCGCCTCCAACAGCCCGAAGCTCTCATTCATCTGGGCCACTTCTGGCCATGTCCAGGCATCCCGGGCCACGAGACCTTGGGCATTAAGTGCCAATTCTGGCAACTTGCGGCAGAGCAAATGCAGGAAGCGCTGAATCAAAGCTCGCTTAACTGCCGCTGAGTGGAGAACTCGTTGGCCGGCGTAGTGCACCCCCATCAACCATGTAGCCTTGCTCTTCCGGACCCGGTCAGGGCCTCCGGCTCCGAGTATTTCCTGCCAGTTGCTGGTTGGATGGCTGCAAGCCACACACCAGCCCCATGGTGGGGAGGAACCGGCGAAGCCGGTTGTACCCGCCCCCCAGGCTTGATCATGGTCCACGCATGGAGAGGAGCGTACCACGGAGCAACTCAAGGAATCGTCCGCGTGACATCTTCCGATTCACGAGCCATGCTGTGCCCTCCGTGACCTCCCAGACATCTTCTGAACTCAAATGGAGCGCAGGCCATAGAAAGTTCAGATTGGGGTACGTCGCCCACGAGTATGGAGCTCGAGCGCCACGCCGTCGGGCCTTGCCTTGAGAGCATTCGAAAATAAGGCATTGTGGGTGGCTTTCCATGTAGCGGGACCTCTGAAAATGTTCGAAGCGCACACAGGAGATGGCAGCCCACACAAAAAAAATGTCAAAATCAACAAGTGGGTGCCTGACGGCTTCTTCATCATCAACAAAAGATTCACGAGCTCCCAAGCGTTGCAACTCCGTCCTCTGTTGTACTCGATGGTCCGGTGGGAGCAGTCGAAAGGGTTGGGTGAGCCAGTGATCCACAGTGAAGGGGAGGCCAAACGTCACCCGGAACCACTTCAACGCTTGAAACATCGAAGATGCAGCAGTCGGACCCCTGGGCCACCATGCGCAAAAATTCGCTCACTGGGTAGGGCTGCAAGAAGGGCCCCAATCCTGGCCTCAGTAAGGCGCCCCGTGGCCTGCGTGACCTGATCTTTGCTGGAGCCGCACCGGGTCTCCGAGCTCCTCCCAGGTCACGCCAAGGTCCTCAAGATTCAGGAACTCGCTCAACAAAATGTCGACGAGGGCCTGGGTCTTGGTGGCCTTCTTGGCGGCTTCTCTAGTGTGAGGGTCCGCCGTGGCCGCTGCTTGCAGCATGGGCCTGTCGGTGGTGTGGTGACCACTGACATAGTTTCCACCACGGAGCCGGGTGACCCTACGATGATGCTCATGAGCGCGCCGAGCGGCCAGTGTCCACAGGGCACTGACCTGAAAAGCCTCCTCTGAATCCAAGGGGCGTTGGTGTTGCTCCAATTCTGCAACCAGCTCTCCCCCATGGGCCCAAATACCAACAACATCTTGGCACGTCTGATCTGTCCGCCACCAACTCCAGTAGCTCAGCCTCCATCGCCTGGTCTGGCTGCCTCACCGTCAGCACTCGTTGGCGGGCCTCCCACGGAGCCGGAGATGCGGGGGCTCAGGCGGGGGAATGGGGCCCTTAGCACGCCTAGGGCTGGGTCCTCTCGGAGGAGCCACTCAATGATGAGCTCTCGGGTCTGCTCAACGGTGAGCCCGAGGATCGCCGCGACCTCGGCAACGAAGACCTGGCCGGAGGTAGTTTCGAAATGGGGTGAAGCGCCCCCTTGGCCCCAGCCGGTGATCTGCATGTCCCTCAGCCCAGGAAATGTTCCGATGGCGACACTGGTCACAGACCAGTTGGAGTTGGTCGCACTCGTAGCAGAGGGCATCAAAGCGGTCGAGGCCCCGCACCGCTGGGAATGGTCAGCTTCAATATCGGGCCGCCGCTCAATACTGTCCCAAATAGCGACACACGGGCCCCCAAATCAGCTCGCCTGTCAGCCGCGGATAGGCCGGAAGGATCTTCGCCCCGGTGCCCCGTCGCCACCGTCGACCCCGGCTGCCACGCCGAGAGGGCCGTCCGACGGATCAGGGGCATGGCACGGAGGCAGAAAGGAAAAATCCCTCCCGATCTTGAGCCAAAATGGCATCAAGATCAGGAGTAACCCCTACATGTTTCAAATCCCAAAATGTCCCTACCCAACCAACCATTCATTTTGGGTAGATAAGTCCGCCTGCACCGAAGGTGCTGAGGCGTTTTATAGGGCACGCGTTAACCGCAAGTACCGCAAGTAGTACTGATAGCTTTAGCTAGGGGGGGGGCATTTTCGCTCTAGAATCCTGTGTTTTTCACGTGTTTGGAACCGGCTTAAAGTGCTTTCGTGCTAATGTTTGCTATCCTGAAGCCTTTAGGGATGCAAGAAATGCAATTTTCTGCTTTGCATCATCTGCATCATCTGAATCATCTGAGCGGTACGTAACATAGCCCTAGAAGTCACTATCTAACGGACGTGTCTGCGAGATAGGGACTTGA